AAAAGTGGAGCTCGGAGAGGTTGCAGTGCACACACCATAGTCAGTTAGCCTGGGAATGTTTTACTCTGATAATGAGATTATGTTTTGAATTAATACTCAAAAATTATGTTATGACTTATGATACGGTTTTATAAATATGGTTTTAGTAATGTTTTAAAAGAAATTTTTAGTCGTGATTTTTGGGTCGTTACAACACTGTTATAGCATTCGGTTTTTCAGCATGTGAATGACACTGATATAATTAGGAAGAAAATGGATGGTTATAAGGGTTTTTAGTCATTTTGATGTGCATTTTTTTATTCCTTATCAAGACTGCATTTTGTTTAGATGGGATATTGATGCAATAAGGAAATTAATAGAAGAGTTAAAGGGCTTATAGAAAGGTTTTTAGAGTATTGGCATGATCACATGGGACAAGGGCAATTCTATGTTTTTTTTCTTAATCTTCATGAAATCATTGAAAAATTGTGAAGTGTGTTATCTAAAGGCTAACTACATTGGTATTACGTGTGATAATAAAATATGTTCTTATTGTCTTGCCACCTATATTTTAGGGTTATTGCTATAAAAGCCCCCATTTTTACATAGAATAGTCAGTTACGTCCTAAGTCTGTTTTTTGGTACATTAATGTCGTTACATTTCCGAAAATATGTTCAGTTTTGCCCATTATCCGATTCTTACCTCCTACAAACGGTCACCCACCCTATGTGGTGCTGACTAGTGTCAAAACTTGATGTTTTCTTTTAATTGTATACTTTGTTTTAATTGTTTAATGTGTTCTTGCTTATTGTTTTTGCAGCATGATTTATGGAAGTTGGTTTTCCTGTTAGGGCTGAGGTATTTTCAATGACACTGTTTATGTTAAATCTTAATTCTTTACAACGAATTTTCCAGCCATTTAAATATATTTTCCACTATTTATGGCCCAATGAATCGCTTTTTGCATTATATTTTGGTAAGTGTTTACGTTAACCTGTGTCTTTATAATTATCGTATAAAATATAGAATACGTGTATTACTATATATACGAACATATGGATAGTTGCTTCAATCATGAACTTGATTATGTGTTTTTGAGATAGCATGCATGAATGGAGAAATATCATTTTATCGACCCCTAGGGTTAAGGAGAGGTAGCATAAGAGGGTGGTTGTGAATTTTCTCACAAGGGTATAGGGGTGTTGGATCGACTACAAAACAAAGACGTTGTGGGCTTACATGCATATTATTAATGGCTTTATTTTAACAAAGACGTTGTGGGCTTACATGCATATTATTAATGGCTTTATTTTAAGGAACAATAATTTTTTATGTTTTCATTACTATTTGGGCATGCTTTATCGTTGATATGGTATTGTAGAGATTTGAATTTGGTTTCTGGTTTCTTTTGAAAAGAAATTGAGTTTCATTTACCAAATTTTGTTGGTTCTGTTTGTAATAAGAACATGAGCTTACTCTGCGGTCCAGAAACGTGGTAATCAAACTAATGACTACTAAACACAATACCATTTAGTTATAACAAAAAACGACATTGAAGCCTTCCGGCCCCCGCAAAGCGGGGGACACTTCTCTAGGATGCTATTATGTTTATTTAAAAGTAATTTATAAATTAATTATAAATAATAAATAATATTATTGAAATTATAATTATTATAGTTTATAAATAAAAAAGAATAGCCTACATTTTTAGATATTCTAAAAGCAAACTTATATAAAGATTAAGTCCCTTTCAAAAAATCATTTTAAAAATCATTTCAGATTTCAAATACTTATCAAACATGTGCAATTGTGCATTTCAATACATTATCTTTAAAATCAATTTTCAAAAGCAGATCATTTTTAAAAATGACCATTTTACAAAATAATGGTAAAACAATATCTTTTCTATAACAATATTTTTATCACTATGAACCAATATTATACGAAAATAAATTACAATTTTGTGCATGGTTGAGCTAATGGCAAGTTAAGGTAAAAAATATATTTTGTTCATTAATTTCTACAATCAGGAGCTCAAATTCTTTAATTAATTGATCATATTCTCATGTAAATTTAATTAAAACTCACTAAGTCATTAGCATACAGTATAAAATATAGTATTAATCAAACGGTTGCATCAAATTATGATATTTAAATATAATTCAACTTTCTCAAGCATCTAATAAAATCATAGGAGTATACAGGTCATTTCATAATGTTTAATTTGATGACTCATAAATTACTTTTATATACCTTTCTCAAGGATGTTGATGTGATCTTTCTCAACAACTTACTTTGGGATTTGGTTTCTGGTTATTCTAAAGTTGTGATTAAAATTTTGGAATAATAATTTGCTCACAAAAACAGAAAAGATACACAAACATACAAAATAATGCAGATGTTGAATATATTTGTGACTGGGTTACATCATGACATGATTATAAATTCCATTATTTATTTCTCTCAAAACATTTGTTGGATGTAAAATTAAGGAAATACAATGTTATAATTGGGTAGTTACTCAGAGAGCAATGCTATGGTAGAAATCTAGAAAGACTAAGAGCTCACTTTTTAAAAATCGAGAAAGATCGCCCATGATTGTACTAATTTGTGGAGCCAGTCATAACTACCCTGATTTCATTTATTCAATTGTTGCAGTTTCAAGAAAGAAAAAAAATCATGAATTCATTCTCGTCAGTCACTAAAAATGTATAATTGAAGATTATCTATGAAATCAATACACTACAATATCATCAAACAATGCAATAAAGTAAAAAATTTCCATTAAGGCGTTTCATCAAAGATTTGGTGTGCATTTAAATTTACAGATATGTTCATCAAGCATGCTTATTCTAATAAACCTGGTTGGAATGATAGAAATTGATGGAGAAAGAATATGATGAGAGAGGGCTTTGTTGACTTGACTTCGTGCACACGAATACCAATTAACCTTATCAGTGGATATCATCGTATCACATAGTCTGGACATCAAAATAAACATCTTCAGATTGAATTATTAGAAATTTCGCTAAAACCAGTTTGAGGGTTACCAATTGTAACCTTAAAACATGTTTAGGTATGATTCTTATTAGATATTCATCTGGATCTAGTAATCAATTTCTTTTGAACTCGTTTAACTTTGAGACATTGATTCTATGATTACAAACCATCATCAATAACTTTGATAATCTTTCAACGACTATAGGTTCTGCATAGCTTTTATGGTTTCTTCTTCTTGTATTAAAGAAAGCATCTATTTACATACGAAATCCGATTAATTCAAATTTGGAGATGATCCTGATTTGATGCGATTTTTGTTGCTGATTTCCTGCTAATTCATGGTTCCTGATTTAATGCACCCATATTTTAAACTATCACAAGGGTATTTTTGGTACTTCACTTTATAAATTTAGGTGGGAAAAAGACACTGAGGATGGTTGAGGAGATGCCACGTGGCAATAAATATATTGTTTTATTAGAATAGGAGATACCACACAATCATTATAGGAGTTGAAAGTAAAGAGATATAAGTAGTAAACTTCACAAAGAAACTAAAATAGAAAGGAGAGAAGGTTAAAGCAAGCATTTTTGCATCACAACACATGATAAAAAAAAAATAATAAAAAAAATAATAATAATAATGCTTCCAAATTTGAGATGCTATTTGGTCCAAGAGGTAAAATGGACTAAATTTTGATCCAAAAGAGATGGAAGTTAACCGGTTGACCTTTGTGAAAAGAAATTGATACTTAATCATGAATTCATAACAAAATTGAAAATATTAACTAGCTTAAGCAATCTGTAAAAACATATAAAAAAAACATCTTAGTAATTGTTCCTCAAAGAACCATCTTTTAGTAATTCGTATTACACTTCCTCTAGGCTTTGAAAGTTCTTAATCATACACATCACATAACCACAAAACAGTAACCTGGGCAGATCCAAGACACAGACTAAAAATCGATAGTTGAGGGATGAAAATTGCCAAGCTCCATAAACTGTTGTGGTGAAACTCTGAAACCCCCAACATAACTGTTCTTAAGGATTTTCAGATTTAACATTATATAAACGGCAGAAATAATTCACGTTCCTTTTAACTGAAAAAACAACAAAGTTATAGGAATGAGCATGAGTCGGTTTGGGTTGGTTTTTGGCTAAAACCAAACCAAACCGTAGAAAGTCGGTTTTTAGGTTTTTAAACTCATATAGGTTCGGTTTTTGCATGGGTCGGTTTTTCGGTTTTCCGGGTTGGGTTTATGGGTTTTCGGTTTTAAACCGTGGGTTTATGAACTCCTATTTTTTTTTTTTCTCTAGTTTTTGGGTTCAAACCTAGTGAAAATACGTTGCGATAAATAATATTGTATCGACTTTAAATATACTAAAATTAAGAATACGAATTCTAGTATTATAAAAGCATAAAAGTGTTCAAAAGATTAAAGATTAACACCATCAAAAGTTTGTTGAAAATAAACATAAAGTATTAAAGAGATAAAATCTAAAGTCTAAAACTAAAAGTTTAAATCATAATATAAATAATATATATGAAGGTCGGTTCGGTTTTTATGGGCGGTTTTATACGTCAAAACTGAACCAAACCGTTATTTTTCGGTTTTTGTAAAATTGAAATCCAAACCGTCGGTTATTGCTTTGGTTTCAGTTTTTCGGTTTCGATTATGTCGGTTTTTTTTGGTTTTTCAGTTTGGTTTTTGCTCATCCCTACAAAGTAATTCTGTAAAAGTCGCCATTAACATCCAAATTAACTTACCAAATCAACTGCTTACACTACAAGAAGAAATTTTTAACAAAATCAACCGTTATTATTTACGTATCATTCAAATACAACTATTAGAATAAGTAATTCAAATACAGAACACGTATCATTGCTTTACATATTTTCAAATCGATTACATCTACAGTTAATTAATGATGCGTGTAATAAAATCATAATCACCTTCAACAACAGCTTTATACACTATTCAACAAACCACATCTCAAAACACAAATTACTTAACCAATACTTCTACGAAACTGATGAAAATTGAATTCCAAATACAAGAAGATGAAGTGAGATGTAGAGACGTATATAAAGAGAGATGAAATACCTAGAAGACAGGGGAAGACAATGGATCAAGAACACCGGCGGAGCAGTAGTAGAGCTTTTAATCGCAGCGGTGCTATTTGATAACCCTATGTGTAACGAACGCACCGCCACCGGCCGATTTTGCCCCTTTGATACTGGCTGCACCTCTGTAAATTGAATACCACCGTCCTCGCTTCCAACGTCTTCGTCTTCTTCATCGTCGTCCTCCTCTTCCACGGCTTCCGCTTCCACCTCGTCTTCATCATCGTCTTCCTCTTCTTTAGATCCTTGCGAATCCGATTCTACATCTTCTATTGCAATCAACTCTTCATCTTCGTCTTCCTCCGCCACAACCAGCGGTTGCGCTGGGACAAATCTCTGAGACCGGGGTTGCGATTGAGATGCGGGTTCAGCGAATCTTGGCCGTTTATTGGCAAGTGGAGTATCGTCATCGTCTTCGCCGATTGAAAATTTCGCCATCGTAATCGCACTTTCATCTCTCTTGTTGGGGATCCATCGTTTATCTGATTTTTCACACGCAACCGCATTATTTTACACTTCCGATTTAACCCTAACAGAGGAGAGTGGATTCTCGGCCTCGCTTCTAAAAATCGATTGAATCGGATAGGTTCCAGTCGACAGGCAGTGAGAGTGGAAGAAATGCTTGAGTATCGATGCTTTGTGATTTTGAGAAGTTAGTCGGTGGAGGAAGACGAAGTCTCCCGCATTTATTTTATCTTTGTAGTAAGAAAAATATTTTGTTTCGTTTGAACCCATCTTCAATTTTTCAACATAGTGATGATGACCTTTGAGACACATGTTCAATTAGTTGATAAAATGATAACAATGGCCATATATAAATCACTTTTGTAAATCACGATCGTTGAAGGCAATTTCATGGAACACCTATTAGGCATCATCAAACATCAATTATCAAACTCTCTCATCAGTTACCAATTGCAAATATATAAAAGGAATCAAGATAACCCAATTAAATTGTGGAAGAACCATTATAAAAATCTAAAATGATTTTGGAAATGAAGCTAGCAGTGAATTTCTGTTGGTAGATATATATGCGTTTCACGATGAAAGGGGGAAGCGGTGGAGAGGACAGGAGAGCTGCTTCGTGTAAATGATGGATGAGGGAAGCGGTGGTGTGACTGTGAAAATAGTGGAAGATGGACGACGTTTTGGGCTGGGGTGGACTCCATTTAACAGTTTTGGCCGACATTGTTATCAATTTATGCAATTATGTTGATGTGGAGTTTATTGACATCTGATGCTTACAGGCCATCTCATTTCAAAAAGACCTAAAAAAAAGAGGTAAAGAAAAATGCTGATACCATAAGTAGGGTTAGTTTAATATACCATGGTCACCGCTTGGCTCTATTGTTATTCCATTGCTTACTTCTTTTTTCTCGATTAAACCCAAAAAGGCTTTGTCACCACCACCGCCCTAACCCACTTCCCATCGTCTGTTAATGACCGACTCTAGATGCTTCACACCGTCTTTTCTCTGCTTCTCATCGTCTTTTACCGCTTCTCCCCCTAATCGGCGCTCCAGGTAAATGTATCGTCTGTTAATCTCTCGCTTGTCAAGTTATCTAACCAAAACACGCTCTTCGACTATACCTAGCGGTGACCATGCCTGGAGCACCGATTAGGGGGAGCACATGTGAAATGGCGATGTCCCCCATATTTTAATAAAACTCACGTGCTTTCCATAAGGCCATGGGTTTTTATCATGGTCATAGCTTTTGCCCATGTGTTTTTGGCATGGTCATTTGTCTTGATCATGTGTTTTTTGTTGGATTATGTGTCTAAACTCATAACTATAATAAAATAAATGAAAAAAATCCAAAAATTCTTTTTTAATTATTATTTTCGGAACTTGAATTAACAAAAATAAATAAATAAATAAATAAATAAATAAAATCCTGTTTTTTTTAAATACATGAAATATTCTAATAGAATATTATACTGACATATTCTAAAAAATAATTTTAAAATGCAAAATAAATGGAAAAATCTAAAAATTATTTTTTTAAATATTATTTTCGGAACTTGAATTAACTAAAAAAATAAAAAAAAATAAAAAATCCCATTTTTTTTTTGAAAAATACGTGAAATATTCTAATAGAATATTACACTGTACATATTCTAAAAAATAATTTTAAAATGCAAAATAAATGGAAAAATCTAAAAATGCTTTTTTTAAATATTATTTTCGGAACTTGAATTAATTATAAAAAATTTTAAAAAAACTCTGGTTTTTTTTTTTGAAAAATACGTTAAATATTCTAATAGAATATTACACGTTACATATTTTAAAAAATAATTTTAAAATGCAAAATAAATGGAAAAATCCAAAAATTCTTTTTTTAAATATTATTTTCAGAACTTGAATTAACTAAAAAAAATTAAAAATAATAAAAAAAATAAAAAAATGCATCTCACAATCTCACAAAATATAGTTGGTTTCAAATGAATATATATATATATATATATATATATATATATATATATATATATATATATATATATATATATATATATATATATATATATATATGGTCAAAATCAAATATAGTATTTGTTTACAAACAACTTTAATTTTCATTTATATATTTCACAAAATAGATTATAAATCAAACAAAACATTATGTTTAAAATATGGCTAAGAAAATCAAAAGGTTAATACATAAAGGAAATTTTATACATTTTTGGGAGTTAAAGGGGAATGCCTTCTTTCTTTAAATTTCTATATTAGATCGTCCTTTCTGCATTAAAAGTAAAAAACAAGTTATATAGCTTAGTTGATGATGTTTACAAAATTTTTCACCAATTCTTTTATTAATAAGCTTTCGGTATTATATTTTCGTAATTTTTGACATAGTTCTATCCATTTTACTGACAACTAACAATGACGTGAGACACACAGCTTGCTCTCCGAGCTCAACCATTAGTGACCGCCAAAAATTTTATTTTTTAATAAAAAACTTGTTTCAATTTTTTTAATTATTTTAAAATATTTGTTTATTTATATATTCATTAATACCTGGAAAAACTTATGTTTATATAAACCAAACATACTTCACCTCATTAAGAAGATACATATTTACCTGTTGATGAAATTAAAGTTGAATGACTTTTTTTTTTGGCTAAAAATGGTGTTTAGGAACTTTATCTTCGTAAGGCCTAACCTACTTTTAATCGACAGGACCGGAATGATTTATTTGCAGTTATTAATCATTAATGCATTGTGTGGTATTTTTTTTTTTTTTTTTTTTTTTTTTTTTTTTTTTTTTTTGCTGTTTTCAGGCATTGACCATCGTTTTAATTTTAATATAGGATGGCCTTTGTTTGAAAAGATTTGGGTTAAATATGTAGGTAAGGTTCTTATACATAAATAATTTCTTTGCAATCCCCACACACTCAAATGCTCAACATGTATCTCCACTCCACTCCTCTTTTTATTTACTTGTAAAATCCTTATTTGACATTACATGGTTGTTAAATGCTCAAAATGTATGGCATGAAGCATAAACAACAAATGCTTCTTCGAAAATTATCTCAAACGATTTTTTTTTTTTTTTTTTTTTTACTATTTAGATTATTGTTTTCAAATTTATCATTTTGTTCCAATCTTCTTTTTCTTTTTTTATTATTTTCGGTTGTCCATAACTCAAAAAAAAAAATCTATTAATTAATGGCATCATCGCAGAGAGGTACAATGATGAATATGAAAGAGATTTGCAATAATGTTCACATAACAAACCCATTAAAAATTAAGACCGTTCAAAAAAATTTAAGCCTAAAAGAAAGGAGTCTTGGCCTCCTGTAAAGCATTGAGTGACGTCTTAAAAGCATGGTTGTCAAAATCGCGATCCTGATCGTAGGATCGTACGATCCTACGATCCTATGTATGAAAAACGATCCGGATCGTAAAAGGATCGTATTTTGGGTAGGATCGCAGGTAGGATCGTAAGATCGTAGGTAGGATCGTAGGATCGAGATCCGATCCGATCCTACCTTCCTTTAATTTTTTTTTTCAAATGAAATTTTTTTACCATTTTATGTCTTTTACCCTTTACCAATCTACCATTTATCATTTTTATTGTGACTTACGACTAATATTTTAAAGTTTTTATAACTTTTGAACGAAAAATGAAATGTTTAAAATATTTTTTATGATTAATATTATAAATTAAAATTATATTCTATTTTGTGGGATCTTAGGATCTCGATCTCGATCTTACGATTCCGATTTTGCAAACCCAAAAACGATCCTAGGTAGGATCCCGATCTTGACAACCTTGCTTAAAAGGGTAAATATAATTGGTTTTTGCTTTTTTTTTTAAGCAGCAAACGAAATCTGTATTCTAATAAAAGAATAGGTTTAATCACATATTGACAAGTGTCATTCAATTAGAAACCTTTATTAATGTTATATATCATTTATCATGCCACTTGTCACCTATAAATTATTCATTTTAAATTTTAAATTTTAAATTTTCTACTCTAATTTTATTAAATTAATAATTGATTCTTTATTTTAAAATTTCTCCCTTTAATTATATTAAATTAATACGATTAGATTAAAAAATAAAATAAAATTAATATAAATTATAAAATGATATAACTCCATGTATTTATTTAAATAAACGATTTTAATTTTATATAACTTAAAAAATATCTCTTAATTAATAATTTATTTAAAAAAATTGATTAATAATTTTGATTTTTTAATACGAAATTTTAATTAATTTTATAACCGTGGTTATCACGGGTTATAAACTAGTATATATTAAATAAAATGCGCTACACTTAGCAAGATGTTGGGGAATTTCGAATTGGGTTATAGGAAATTTGGATCACAAACAGGAATCGTGTAATATACTTTCCTTGTTTGATATTTCGATCCTAATTGCCTTGGGTATCACGAAATCCAAACTAGGATAATTCCTGAAGAAACGATTCTTGTTTTAGGCACAAAACACATAATCAATTTTGAGAGAGAATGAATAAGAAGGCGTTTTTTTCAATTTTCTGTGTTTCAACGAAGTCGTTGTATTTCCCGGATTTATCCACTCAACGGATAAACGAGAACAGTTTACATCTTTTAGAAAGGACAAATTAGTCCTTGAATTTGCATCTGTAAAGAATGACAGATTAGTCCTTGTACTGTTCTAACAATGTTTAGTAAATACAAGTGTGCACTCCCACACCTCCTAACTTGTATTATAACTAAAACACTATTCTTGAAACACTTGTTAAATCCATTACACTAAAATATATTTGGTGATTAAATCACCAACACAAGATGCTAAGGAGCAAATAGCAGAGTACACAACAGTTCAAAGTGACAATTAAATAATAGAATTACAGAGAGAGAAATGGTGATATGCTCCATTCCACCCAGTTCCCACATCCGAACTTACTTCTATGTTTGCACCATAAGTAGGAAATAGAAATAACAT